GTGGAAAATAGCTGTTTAAATCATCTTAGTCTTCCACATATCATCAAATACATGAAATTGCATGCTGTGTAATGTGTGAAATTTCCAGGCCTGTCTTTCACATCTCCATTACATATTTCTGCTACTTAGCATATTTCTTATATTGGCATACGTACAACCCTCACAATCTTTTGGTATTATTTTCTTTTCTAACATTTTGTTCTTTTGTTGTTGGTAAAGTAGGATCTCACTACGTAGCACGGGCTGGTCTCAGACTAATGCCTTCCTGCCTCAGCATTACTGAGATCAAAGATGTTTCCCACCATGCCCAGTGAATTACTTCCTCAAACAATGCAGAGTGTTCTTGTCAACTCATCTGGCTATCACTCCTCATAGAGCTGAGATGTTCGTGACTTCCCTTTACTCTCAATCTGTGGGTTGTGACACTTCCGGAGGTTGAACAACTCTTTCACAGGGGTCACCAAAGACCATCTCCATTGCAGATACTTACACTACAGTCCATAACAGTAGCGAAATTACAGTTATGAACTAGCAATAAAAATACTTTCATGGTTGGCAATCACCGTAACATTGAGCACTGTATTAAAGGGTCACAGCTCCAGGAAATCTGGGAACCACTGCTCTAGTCTTACCTTACTGGGGTGCACATCTTCTGACAAGAAGTCACATGAGATCTGTTTTTCATACTCATCATATTCTCCCACTTTCAGTTCTGTTGGATATATTTTCTTTTTTGTGGTTTTTCAAGTCAAGAACTTTTGGAATTCAAGACCAATAGGAGGTTGAGACAGACAGACAGACAGACAGACAGACAGAGGTGGATGGTACTTCTGTAGGGACATCCATGTTTTTCTGTAGTCTTCACACGCACACACATGCGCACACACGTGCAATATGCCTGCACAGCCACAAAACTTTTTTCTTAATTTTATAATTTGTATTGAACTCTTTTCATGTATATATGTTTGTTTTAAAATATTTATTCTATATTAATGCTTTTAGTGCTAATAAGCTCATCTGATGAATTACAATGATTTTGTAATTTCTTTTCTTCTTTTTTTGGCTCAGAGTGTTAGATGTAGTTTTAGAATTTCCTGGTTTCAGTACATATTTTTCTTTATAATTTTGCAAACATTTTTAATGCCTGTTGCCTCTTTCATTATTTGAGTTTGTAGTCACCCAGTTTTCATGTTCCTTTGACGTTTGTCCTATTTCACTTCAGTGATTTTTCACTAGTCACTGGGCATTTTGGTATTACATTGTTATGCACTGAGTTCTGTTTGGAGGGGGACTCAAACTACTTATGAATCAGTTAACCCCTTTGAATCTTCATTTTAAGTTTTATTAGGACAGGCATATCTGATATAGTAAACAGACAAACACTCAAGAAAATCCTCCTGTGAATTTCCCGTATTAATTTCTGCAGTTTCACCTGTCTCCAGTAATTCCCTTCACCTCATTCTGACCAAAAACTAGACTATTCCTCTTTAAACAACTGGCCAATAACTGGTCTTTTTCTCTTTGAATTACTGAGATTCTAGCTTTGCTTGGGCCCTCATTTTTGAAGCCCAATCCAGAGAGTGCTGACTAGCATGAAGTCCATGTGATCATAGAGAACAGCTCATTTGCTTTTCTCCTCTTAGAAATCACAGACCTTTGTTTGTTCCTTTATCCACCCGCCAAAAAGGTGAATATTCATCTTTATATTTTAATATTTTAACAGATTAATGACCAGAAAGGTAGCCTCGTACATATTATTTCTGTCTCCTCACACATACTAAATGTTCATTTAAGTGTCAATTCAATTATCGAGAAAGGAATATTGAATTCTACATTTTACCTATTCACCCCTATAGTTATGTCAATTTTTGCGCTATATTTGTATTAGAGTCCATATACTTTTAGTTGGTATGACTTCTTGATGTTTCAACATTTTATTATTGCATATAAAATATAACCTATTGATATGCCTTATTATGAGTTTCCTATTGTCTGATATGAACATAGCTAAACTAATCACACTGTATTTTTAGAAGTATGCTATTTCCCTATTTTTAATCTTCAATTATTTGACTCTATATTTAAAAAGCATCTCTTCTATACAGTAATGGGAAATGATGTAATTATGTTATAATCTCCAATTAGAAACAAAATAATTTTGTGAAAGATGCTGCTGCAATAGGATGTGTTTTCTCCATTACCATGATTTCTTTGATGTATTAAAAGCTATAGTTATTAAAGTGCATGATTAGTAACCAGTAGGATATTCAAGGTACCTGTCTATCTGCATTATCCCTGTGCCTCCTGAGCTGGTGGAGTATGATAGTATTCTGGCTGTCATTTCAGTGCAGGAGTTTTCACTTTCCCTACATGTAATAAGAACTGTACATGACAATAATATCAGAAGAATGAGAAGAAGGAAATAGATTGAAGTATAATGTGACGATTGACCGATAAATGGCTTGTGTGCTCCAGCCATATTCCATACATTATAGTATGTGTTTTGGATACAATATAAGAAAAACATGACCTTTATTCGCAAGGGATCTTTTGTTGTTTATCCATATTTGATACTTTGTAGATGAATAGAGAGCTCAGCTGGGGTGCTAAAGGGAAACTTGCCTTTCTCTACATTTTAGGACAAAAGGGAGGGATATGTGTAGGGTCTCAGGATGTCTGAGAGAGCTGTCCCTAAGAAAAGGGACAGACTTTTGAATGACCTCATTAAAATTGCAACTAACCCTCACACTACCAGAATCCCTGGTAGAATCATGGTGATTATCTTCTCATCATCTCTATTTAACAACAAAAAGGCAGGATCTTACCTCATTTGAACTGCATTGTGTGGAACCAGTACAGTTGTGGTTTTCTTTTTAACAGTATCAGCTTTAAAACAAACAAACAAAAACAAAAAACAAACAAAAAAATAACTGGACAGGCACAGAGTAAATATGGACAATAAATAATCAAGAAAAAATAGAGGGGGAAAACACAATAGCAAGGTAATGGGAATATTACAGTTGATAAGCAAGAAAGGTAAAATATCAGTGAATTTTTTTAAATACCCAGCAATCAAAAAAAGAAGAGAGGCAAGTAAGAGCATAAGAAATAGACCCCACAGGAACATTTTAAATTATGTCTTAAGTCTTAGAAGCACTAAATTGCAAACACCCCCTACTGATCAAAGTTCAACCCATGACTACTTCACCACAAACTATGAATGTTACAGAGTTAAAGCTGAGTTTCAATAAAAGGCAAATACCAATAAATAGATATGTCATGATTCTATTAATCTATAAATTACATGAACAGCTAAAATAATCCTGTGTAAATGAGTTTGGGTTACTTTGGGAAGTCAGTAGTGACTGTGAGGGAATTCAATGGTCTGCCACTGTTTTATTTCCTTTTTCTTTTCACATTTTTATAATTTATTCACTGTATATCGCAATTGTAGCTCCCTTGCTCCCTCTTCCTCCCATTATTGCCTTCCCCTAGTCTGCAGAAAGGGAGAAACGTCTTCCCCTACTATCTGACCCCAACCTATCAAGTCTCATCAGGACTGCCTGGATCCTCTTCCTCTGTGGCCGGGGAAGGCCATAACACCAGGTGGACATGATCCAAGACCAGGCAACAGAGTCTGTGTCAGAGATAATTTCTGCTCCCCTTACTAAGGTACCCACATGGAGACTGGCGGCCTATGGGCTACATCTGAGCAGGGGGTCTATCTCTTTTCCATGCATGGTACATCATTCTCTGCAGGCCCTCCTGGGCCCAGATTTGTTGGCTTTGTTGGATTCCTTGTGAAGCTTCTGTCTCCTCCGTGTCCTTCTAGCCCCGAACTCTTCCATCAGACTCCCTGAGCTCTGCCCAAATTTCGGCTGGGAGTCTTACCATCTGCTCTGCTCCTCTGCTGGGCAGAGTCTTTCAGAGGACATCTATGGTAGGGTCCCGTCCTATTTCCTCTCTTCAACCACTTCCAGTGTCTAGTCTATTTAGCCTTCTGGATGAGAATTAAGCACTCCTTCATTGCTGGTGAGAGTGAGAACTTGTACATCTGCTTTGGAAATCAATCCGGCACTGGGAAATTAGGAAATTGGGAAAAGCACAACCTCAATATCCAGCTATATCACTCCTGGGCATATGCCCAAAAGGTGCTAGTTCTACCATACAGCAAGAACATTTGTTTTATTTCTTGAGTTTGATACTATTTAAATTTATGTAGGTAGTTTTTTGGTTTTTTTTTTTTTTTTTTTCAAAATTCACTGACTTTTTCTTACATTAAGTGCATTAGCTTGGATGGGCATTATTTTTCTAAGGATTCACAGATATACTGAAAGTCTGAGAAATCATCAAAACCCACCCGCCTCCCCAACATTAGATCTATACTTTGCTTTAGTCAGATTTAGGGGCGGCATGAAAAAAAATCTGAGATAAACAAAAAAGATGAAAAAAAAATCCTTATTTTGGCCCCAGAGTTTCAGTGGCTTCCATCCAACATTTTCTAGGCCAGTTGCTGTGGACCTGATGAGGTTTGTGGCAATGCATTTCTATTGAGAAATCATGAAGCTTCATCAAAATATATTTTTCTAAATACCAAAGATGAAAAAGCAGACTGAGAAATTATAACAATTAATTCCGTGGTAGCACAAGGAAATTAATCCAACTTACACTAGAGCCCAACAAAAATTGCACAACCTGGTTTCAAGATTATTTTTGTCTCATCAACTGTTTAACATTCTCCTACTTCAAGACTCCTTTAATTTTTCTTTGCAACGTGTTGTTACCAGCCAGTCTTCACAGAAGTGTGATTGCCCATCTTAACCCTTACATTTCAGAAGTATTCTTTTTTAATTAAATTTTATTTTTTATTATTAGTTACATTTTATTAACTCTTTATCCCAGCTGTATCCCACTCTCTTATTCCCTCCTTTCAAACCAGAAAAGAATTTTTTTTTTTTAAATTTGAGTAACAATGTGATATTTATCCCTTTCTCTTGTAGAACTGCATCAAAACATGTAAACAAGGACCTTGGTAACATGGAGGAGAACAAAAAGCTGGAAGAAAATAATCACAAAACAGAAGCCTAAAAGAGGAGTGGTTTCCAGGTGTCCAGGTGAGTGGGAGGGGAGGGGGGCTGTTTGTAGATAAGACTCCTAGGAAGTGAGCTGTGTGTGTGAAACCCAAACTTCACTTCCGGATCCTTCTTCATTATAGAGCCTCAAACAGAAAGAGGATTTTCTAGAGGAAATTTTGATAATTCATTGCTCTCAGAAGAATGGGTTCTCCCAGTCTCTTCAACCTCCTCAACATAATTATTATCCTCTGAATAATAAAATCCACTTTTGAGATTCTTAGCATCTCATTTGCATTTTGTTTCCTAATGCCAAAAATTTTTGCTGCATACAAAGAAGCTTTATTTTGTAAGTTGGTATTTGGGTTCAGTAAGCCCAAACTCTAAATTTATTTTTAAAACCCATTAGAATAAATTTTAACATATAAATATTTTAATCTGAGGATATGGCATAATTGTGAGTGTATTTATACAGCTGTCTCCCAAGTCATTTAAATAAAAAGGCTGACAAACTAATACGTATATTACACAGAGAGTGAATGAGTATGTATGCATGCAAGTGCCTTCATGAGCAAATATGTGTGTATGATCTATGTGCCAGGGCTACGTATGTTACATATATTCACATTTATTAATGTATCTATATGAGTTTTAAGGCACTCACACAAAGGTCTATGACTCAATGGTTTTACCACATACAACCTGACCATCCTCTGTGCTCCCCCTCCAGATCCACAAAGCCGTCATTTGGATTCAGTTTGCCTTTTATGTAAATTTTTACAGAGCTGTTTTTATACGCTGCAAGCCTTGTTCCAGGAGGGGTTGTTAACTAGATATGTAATGCAATGTTTTAGTTCATTACTCTGTATGTCCTGGAGACAACTGCTATCCTAACAACATGTAAACAAACAGCCCAACTTCTGTGAACTTTAGATGCACTATAAATTAACCAGAAACTAATTACCTGGGAGAGAAGTGCAGGGTAATTGAAATGGGATCAGCCCGTAAAGCCTGACAGTTGGACCCTCAAGTGTTTGAGGAGTCAGACCTGGATTCGTTCTTCACTTCTGCTCTCTGGGACCCAAATACCTATTCGCAATTTCTCACTTTCTTCTCCCTTCATACTACTCTGTTCTCTCTTTCTCAGTTCCATGTAAACAATCCGTTGAATCTCAACTGTTTCCCTCAAAATTGGGTTAAGTTTCATCGCACTGAAAAACTGAAGACAAGTCCCTCAGATTAGACTGTGGTTCTCAGGGATGTGTGTATTTTAAATTTGAAGAGAAACATGATGAAATATTGTCCCAAAACACCTTTATTCTCTTCTTATCTTTAAATAAATTAACCATGTTTCACAGAAGGAGGAAGAGAGAGGGGCTGGAGGGAGGAAGGAAGAAGTGAAGAAATCATCAATTCCTAAACCATATCATAAAATGAATAAGGCTTTCTATACTGGGCTTGGGACATAAGGGTTTTATAAACCATGCCTTATATGATGTAATTATTGTCTCTTTTAGAACAAAGGATCTGTTTACTATGAAAAATGATTGTTATGGTAACTTATCTGCATTGTTTTTTCAACATTTCAGAGAGAAAAAAACCATATAGACAAATTGAAGCATGAACGTGGATTGTATTTAAGACATATACAAAGACAATGACAGCAATTCATGGTTCAAGTATTAAACAGTTCATTCTACCAAGCTGTCACAGGATCTTAGAGTATTATCTCAAGTAAAACAAATGAAATAAAGTTATAAAGTAACAACAAGATTTGGCAGCCATGATAATAGGTCATTTGTTGTATTTGGTTTGACTTTTTTTCTGTAAATGTCTGCACTAAGGGTTTCCTTTCAGTTTGCCTTTTATGTAAATTTTTTACGTAGCTATTTTTATACACTGTAAGCTTTGTTCTGGGAGTGGCTGTTAATTCGATGTCTAATGTAATGTTTCATTTCAGTTGTTTATATGGATAGTCTGAGCAAGTACAGTTCAGATTCTGATTGCTATCAATAATACCCCAAACTTTCTTATGAGGATGCGAAACCCAAAGGTGGCAGTTGTGAGATTAGACACACATATCTTGCCCAATCAGAAGCTGCTTTTTTTATCTTGAGAGTTAGGAGCACCATAGGGTGTGATGACACCAGCAGGCTCTCAGAGGCAAGAGTCAGACACATACAGCAACCCCACATGAGAATGGTACTAACTGACAATTTTGTCTTCTCTGAAAAAGACATACACGGACTTTGAATCACATGTACTTAACAGCACATGATAGTAAACTACATTCTGTCAAAAGAAAATTTAGGGAAAAAATGAGAATAAAAAAATGAATTGTCAGAGAAAGTTGGAAAAATTCACACCTAGCGTTCCCATTTCCACAGATCACAATGTAAATCACTGTAATTAAAATTGGTGTTAAATCCTTTGGGTTATCCACTGCCTTAAAATGACACTTATTTCCTTTAAAAAATAAAATAAAACAAGAGATATCAGTCAGAATTTCAGATTTTTAACAGTGGTCATTATTAAAGCTGTGTTATTTTCCACAGAATATAGAATATATATTTTTTTCGTGTGTGTTTTTGTTAACTACGCTACAGATATTGAATGCACCTTGAGATAATTTAGTGTTTTTAACTGGTACATAATTTATCAAGCAGTACATGAAAGTGTAATAATAAAATGTCTGTATCTTTAGTTACACTCAGATTTGTAACTTTATAAACATGTTTTCTGCCTGAGGTACTTTTTAAGGAGGTAGTATACATGGGAACTTTTTGAAGTAGACTGGATAAGGGTCAGTAGCAATTTGCAGCTAGACTTTAAACTTTGCTCTTTCAGGTAGAAGCTTGGTTTCTGGGATCACACTGAACCATTTTGTCCCAGATTTACATGTATAACTTTAACCGAGAAAAGAAAAAAAAAAAAAAGACCATTAATTCCCAGGCATAAAACTATGTTCTTTGAGAGGAAAAGGAAATGTGATTGTTTCCTTTTAGACTCAAACAATAAAACTGTTTTGAAGGCAATGAGAAACTAATCAAAGCTTAATCACTGATGGAGGTTGGGGATAATATTTTGCCACTTCCACATACTGAGAGACGTGTCATTGTACGCTTGTAACCATTTGATCTGAGCAATAGTGTCTCAGTTTAATAAAAGCTTCCTATAGTACATTGTTAATACCTAAAATGTTCTACTAGGCTCCATGCTGTACAAAATATGGGGGAAAAAAGAAAACATGTTATTTTGCCTCTAAACTTTGATTTATTGAAGTTTTATTTGGCAAGAAGAAAAATTGAATCTTGATCAATATTTAAACCAAAGGGAAAAGGGAAAAACAAAACAAAACCAAAGTTCTTTGTTTTGCATGGCTAAGCCATTCAGTTTATCTCTGTAAATAATATGATTTCTTTTTGTTTTCCTTTTCCTTTCTCTTTAGAATTTTGTTAAAGAAATTCTAAAATTTTTAAATACCTGCTTTCCACAATAAGCCATGAACACTACAGTGAGATTAGTTCCATAGGAATATTTTTTTGTTTTTTGTTTTTGTTTTTGTTTTGGTGTGGGAGATCAAAGGTTTAAAGTCTTACTCCTAAGATTCGTTTGCAGAAACAATTAACAGGGCAACAAAAGGAGAGGGTTTACTCCTAGTCTGGCACAGTGGTCACTTGCAATGGTAACTGAGTCCGCAAACAGCTGTTGGAACCTAGGCAGCAGCCCAAGCGGCCCGGATCTCTCAATCAGGAGCAGATGTTTACAAGAGAAGAGAGGACAGGATTGCTACTACCGCGTCAGTGTCTGTGTAAGGAGGAGGCTCGCTCGCTGAGAGCAACTCCATGAACTTCACTGAGAGGAGACTAATTCCGAGTTTCCACCTCTGGAGTCTCTTCTCTCCAGCAGCGGCAACAAGATACAGGTTTTTAACCAGTTCACGGTCCGCCCCCTATATGTAATTATAGGAATTGTATGTGGAAATGGATTAACATACCCCTCTATGCCTACAAGAAAATAAAAATGAAATATGTCTTCACATACCCCTCATAGCTGTCTGCCTCTTGTCTGCAATAGGATGTTCATGTACAAAAAAAGTAATTTTCTTTAATAAAAGGTGGAAACGTCGATGTGATTGTCCGTCCCTCTGAAAGTGGATTATAACAATAATAAATATAAAATAGAATATGAAAAATAATAGAACATCTTCCTGTACATCTTCCCGTCAGGGCGCCACCTTGAGTTTTCACCAGTGAGTTTCTAAAGGTGTCTGTTCTCACTGATCAGGCCACAGTGCTTGAGGCTGCCCCACTTCACTACCGTTAGCTTTTAATTAAGAGGACACTTCACGTCTACCTAGCTAGCGTTTTATTGCCGTGAAGGGGCATTGTGACCATGGTGACTCTTATAAAGGACAGCATTTAATTGGGGATGACTTACAGTTTCAGAGTCCATTATCATCACGGTGGAAAACATGGGAGCGTGCAGGCACACATGGTGCTGAAGGAGTTCTATCTCTTGAGGAGACTGTGTGTGTCACACTAGCTTGAGCCTGTGTGAGACCCCCCAGAGCCTGCCTCCCCCGTGGAATACAAAGCCACACCTACTCCTAGGCCACACCTTCCCCTACAAGGCTGCCCCTCCTAACAGTGCCTTTCACTAGCATTCAAACACATGAGTCTAGGAAGGCCATACCTACTCAAGCCACCACAACTTTTATCTTTCTTTACCTCACTTTAGATCACCATTTGGAATTTTCGAGGCATGATCTTTCACAGAAACGAGCTGTCTTTCCAATAGAATAGGCCAGCTACATACATCAAAGTTGAAAAATTAATGTTTTGGGAATAATTAGCCATCTTGCTGCGGTGGCTCAAGCTCGTAATCATCATTTGGGAGGCTAAGGTAGGTGCATCAGAAGTTCCAGACTAGTTGGGGCTACGTAGTGAGTGCCAAGCCAGCCTTCACTACAGAGTAAAACTCTATCTCAAAAAGTTAAGAAAAAAAAAGTTTGGACCCATCCTTTTTCAGGATATTCGTTCAACCTCTACTCACCAACCACTATCAATAACATCTCACATCCTCTCTTTCCAGCTGGTACCTCAGGGTTGAGTTCTGTGACTCCCAGGAGCACATTTCTGCAAAATTGATGCCTGATAACTTCACCCAGGCTGCTATAGATCTCCAAGCTTCTTGGAACATACTCCTTCAAGTTAATGAAGTGGGAAGATAGTAATTGACACATCAGTTGATGGAACCAAACAATTCTTTTAAGATGTTATATAATAGTCACTATCCTGTAATTATTCAGCTGTGTATAAGTAAAATGCACTTGAATGCTTTTCTTTTTGATATAATAGTTCTACTTTCTCTTGCCTCCCTCTATATTATCCCACCTATCCTTCCCCACTCTTTTTCAAACTCATGACCTCTTTTATCACTAATTGTTATTGTATGCATATATGAATATGTATATACATACATATTCTTAAATATAACTTGTTTAGACTACATAATATTACTAGTATGTATGTTTTCAGGGTCTGTCATGTAGCACACCCTTCCCTAGGGAAGGCCAGCTCTTCCGCTCCCCATTCAACATCACATTTAAAACATACACACACATTGCTCTCCTATTTAAGTGATTGTAATAAGACAGACATGATGTGCTATTTAACTATTTATTAACTTGATGTCTCACTATCTTGAGATGATGCTATCCTAACCCCACATATCAAGGGCAACTGACTTTGTTTACAGTCATGAATGGGATGAGGAGGGTAGGGATGGACTTGCTACTTATGTCCAAGTTTCCAAAGTGCAGGCTGTATCTATTATATACTAATTATCTCTCTAATAAAAGTACACATCTCTCAGGATATACATCTTATGATGACTCCTAAAAGGACAGATTAACATTTAGTACCCAATGTTTCCTCTGCTATTAAACATCAGATTCTCATTGAAAGTAAGACAATAAATTAAAAAAAAAACCAACATTTTCTTCAGAAAGCATAGATTTTTTTTGTGTAAAAGATAGTTGCTTGTAAGTCCTAAATCTAAGGATCCCTATATTAGCTACTGCTATCTTTATTTTAAAAATTAATGCCATGTCCTAGACATTGTATGCATTCCACTTTCACAAAAGAACGCATTTCATTTAAAAGTAGGATGGCTTTCATATATAATAAGCTTTCTTCATAAAAACTGTTCTTATAAATGAACTTTATTAGGGAAACGTGAAGGCAGAAACCTAGAGCTCATTTTCTCTAGGTTCTCCGTCTTCACCAATTCATCATCCTCATTCAAACCCAATTCATTTCCACCCAAATTGCCTTTCTCATTTTTTCCTTATAAATGCCTTTTACATGCAAAAATATTCATTGGAAAATGAATGTATGGGCACAGAACTTCAAAAGCATCCTGTGCTCAGGTTATCTGTCTTGTCTCTTTCTGTTAGCTGTCTCTAGGGAAAGTTTTACTTCGTAACAGCAAGACAGCACAATATGAGAAAATATCTTCAATCTTCTATATAGATGCATGTCCATGAATGTGAAGGCACACACACACGATTGCATATACAGAGAGCATTTTAATCCTATTTCTGGATAAGAAAACAGAATTTGATTAGCAAAAAAAATGAAATTTTTTGAATAATCACAACATACGAAGCAGAAAAGGAGTGAAGATAATCATAATTATTTGATGGATGGCATTCCACAATGATTTAAGGCTACTTGTAGGCCAACAGCTGCAATAAAACATACACAAGTAAACATGATTGTGTAAACTCAATACTATTGATAGACATACGAGGGCCTCAGTATCATAGAGACTTCACAATACTGTGTTACACTCTTCAAAAGTCTTTTATTCTAGATTGCTGGTATTACATGTTACACTCTTCAAAAGTCTTTTATTCTAGATTGCTGGTATTACGGTATTTTGAAAACAAAACTTCTGAAAAAAATATACCTTTGAATATTGTCACAATGCAGTTGGACTGTTTGGCCACAGAAAATCAAAATGAAATCCCAAATCTTCTCATAAAAATTTCCCCTATAATTCTGCGTTTGGGGGATAGGCCATGGTAAATGATGCTCAATTACTAGTTTAAATGGACATGCCTGGATTCACAAAGAGATGAGACATTCACTTCCATCAAACACAGCAGGTGGAATTAGAGTTCTCTATAATGCTTTAAATTCTCACCCGTGGGAAAACTGGAGTTCTCCAAACAGAAGACTGTCACTACTTGAAATCTGATTTGTAGCAGTCTTCCTGTAGTGGTGGATTAAGGAAATGGAGGGAAATGTGGGAGAAGAGGGAGTGAGGATGGGAGGAGGAGGAGATAAGGGAATCAGGATGTAAAGTAAAGAAATTATAAAAATAAATTTAAATTAAAAAAATAAGGAAAACAAAAAGGGTTTACATCTGAGCAACTGAGTCATTCGAGAGATGCTGGGCAAATTCTCAAAATTTCCTTTTCTCTGAAATTTGAGGTGTGGTTCTGTGTCTACAACTACCCCAGTTCTGATTGCTGGTCACTGTGCCAATCCTGCTGTGCTGCTCAGTTCTTCCCCCTTGCTTTGATGGTCTTTGTCCACTGTCAGCTTTTTTTTTTTTTTAAAGCCTTTATGGGGGAAAAAAATAAAAGCATCATTTATTGACTTTGATTTCAAGGGAAATGGCAATTATTTTACACATTTAGTTTCACTTACAATAATAACCTTCATCTCATTTTTCTTGATGTAGGGGTCCTTGCTTTTCCATTTTTAATCATTATATACACACCATTTACATAATAATGGGCTTTTCCTCACATTTTTCAACAGCTCCAGGTAAACAGCAAATTCATCTTCCCACATATTCCTACGTGGTGAATGTTTTAGAAAAAAAAAAATGTGCCTTAAAGGCTTCCTGCTCCGTTCATTAGGGTTTAATTTTTCTTGAATAAACTGACAATATTATCAAACACATTCTTTAAAACCGTCTCCACCACAGTATTTTATTGTTGTCTTGCTGACCATAGTAATAAATATTATTGGTGCACAAAGGAGTCCACTAATTAAGAAAGGTTCATGTTTTGTAAGGCTTCTGTACCAGAGAAGGTGTGATGCTTTGATTAGTAGCTTCAGAGTCCTCGTCTAGTAACTCCTGATACTGGCATGGAAAGTAGGTTTTGTGGCTTTGGTCCCATTGCTGCCACTGTTACTATTAGAAGTGGGGTATGATGTGTAGGGGTGTTGAGGCAGGATATCTCCTTTTCAACTCATAGAGCCCCACTCTCAGATATGGAACTACAGGGACTAAGAAATACTGAAATCAGAAGAAATGCTCCTCCCCAGAAACGAGCACTTTAATTTGATTATCCAATACCAAGTCGTCATGTCTAAAATCATACATGTGTAACAGAGAAAAAGAGGCCAAGATTTCTGGGAGCAAAGGGACATGCATGGGAGGGGTTGCTGGGAGGAAAGGGATGGGAGAAATGATGTAATTTGTATTTCAATTTTCTTCGTTTTTAAACTTTTTGTTGATTCTTTGTGAATTTCACATCATCATGCACCCCATCCTACTCATCGCCCTGGCCCTTCATATCTACCCCTGTTCTCTGCTCTTGCAACTCCACCCTCAAAAAAATAAGATAGAATTAAAAAAAAAAACTTGTCATGGAAACTGTAGTGTGCCACAATATGTAATATACTTTCGTCTACACATCTTTACAAGCAAATGTTCATTTCAATCAGTCATTGGTCTGTTTCTAGTTTCTGGCTTCTGCTACTCTTATCTATACTGGATCATCACTGGGACTCCTCTCTGATATCCTTTTGTTGCCCTGTGTCATGGAGATCCTACAGCTTTGTATCTGCAAGACTGACCCTTCCATGCATTCCAGCAGATCATGGGGTGGATGTTGGAGTTGACCAACTCAAAGCCTTGGTTCTGGGCCTGAGAGGTAGCTGAGTTGGTCAGCCTGCCAGCTCTCCTGCACTTGCACCCCCAGGACGAGCTCTCTAGCATTGGTCCAGCTAGCTCACCC